CATAGTTAAGACTTCCTCACGTTTTCTTTTCAACCATGGGGAAAATAGCTATAGCTTATCAAATTGTGGCACGTATGCAGTATTTTTCCAGACTTTTTCTGTACTCTTAAAGAATATTTAAATTCACTGAAGTCTGGTTGTCAGTACACTTGACAGCAGTACTGCAACCTTTGGGGGCCTGAATTTTTGAGTAAACATCTCTCCGCTTGGCAGATATGCACCAGGAAACAGTAGTTTTCAGGAGTTTTTCAGTGCTGTGTTTTTGGCAAAAAGCTTTGGATGTAGCTTCTCAGTCCATAAGCCAAATTTGCAGCATCGCTAGACACTGTAGTGTTGGGGTGGTAAACCTTAAAAAAAAAAAAAAAAACCATCCTTGGCAGCAGTAGCCATGGTGTGTTTCAGGACAGGGTTGTTACTTCAATGATGGTGGTTTTAATTCCCAAAGGGCTTGTGATCATTAAGAGAAAATGGCAATTGGAACATATTAATGTGCAGTCAGAAGAATACATTGTTTAGTCATGCTGGTTACACTGCACAGGAAGCAAGTGATGAATAGAGGAGAGGAACTGCTGGTGTTTAGTCTGAAACGGCTGCTGGGCTCAGCAGGATGAAAGCACGGCTTATCCAGGTCTGTCCAACATAAGGCAATACTTTATATGTAATGTAGTTTAGCCATTCAGACAGGAAACGGCATAAAATTTGTCATTGGTTCATAAATGTAAACAGTGATGAAATTCCTTCACAGAGAATGGATGCCATTCTCTAATGGATTTTGCTGCCCCAAAGAATGACATTTAGTTCATTCATGCACATGGTGTTCTGTCATCGTTAGAAAAACGCTGAAGGACTTTCTTTTGTGAAACATCTGGCAGGTACAGACGATTTTAGACAGTTGGGGGATGTTTTTGCATTTTGTGGATGTTAACTGGTTAATAGCTAGGACCCATCTTTTGCTCTTAATGAGGAAAAATTTTTGCATCCAGCTGAATTTCTTTCAACAGTTAAGGAAATCTAATGTACTGCAGAACAGCCTACTCTAACTGAAATGACAAAGACGGGAACAAGTCTTTACAGCTATTCCTAGTAATCCCTTAGTATAAGGAAGAAAGGAAGACTGTTTTCATCTTATCTCTTAATTTAAATTTAAGGATTGGATGAAATCTAGGAATGAACCAGTGCCATATGTAAAAAGGACAACTTCTGGCCCACTTTCAGATTATAGCACTAGCTATCTTCTTTTATAGTTACCAGCTATCTTCTTGACATGCTAGGTTGAGTAAAAGGCAGGACAAACAAATCAGGTAATATTTAAAGGCTCTGGAAGGCTCTATTTATTTTCTTGATAAATTAGTTGTATTAAACAAAAATTATTCTGCATAATTCTTCTTGCTCTTCTGAGTAAAATTTTAAAGAAAACAATGTAAAGCAGATTTTGATACCTTCGTGCAGTCCTGATGTTTTGCTACACATAGGAAGATCTGTTTTTCAAGTCATTGTGTTTTTTTAGCAAGGCTCATATGAGAGCATTGTAGCCACTAGCGTACTAGGTATTTTGGTTAAATCTCGCATAGTGACATTTTCATTTTGGTACAAAGACGAACTACATGCACTGGGACTCTTCCTTTTCCTTAATGAAAGCCCTCATAGTTAAGACAGAGGTAAATCCTCACAGAAGAGACATCCAGCAGTGAGAGAGCGACAATCAGGTGGGTAACTAGTCTTGAGCTCTCTCCTTCCAGGCTAGGCACAGCAGGGTGCTGAAGCAGCTTAGGGCGATCAGGAGTTGAGGTTTCTGCTCCTGCCCTTACTGCAGCGCATTTTCCCTCCCAAGTTCTGCAGCAGAGCAGCTGTCGAGAGGATCCCAGTGTTATCTGTGCGCCGGCTGGGGACACTTAAGCCCATTAGTGGCTGATTCCAGACTCCCTTCATTCTGGAAGACGCTTATCAAACTTGCTGTATGATTTTTCTACTATGTCCTAACTAATGTGGACAAATAAGCAGATGCACTGTGAATTTTTTTTTTTTCCAGGCAAGAAAATCAATCTAGGAGAAACCTGAAGGAAAAAAGTAAAAATGTTTATGATGAATGATTAAATACAGCTGAATGTGAGTTAACTAAATAAGGACTCAAAAGTGGATGCAAACATTCCTAAGTATTTGAAAAGTGCAAGTATAAACAGTAGGTGGAGATATGCAAATGTTTTGCAATCAGTGTATACCTAGCTAGCAGTAGTGCGTGGAAACAAAGGATGTAGAATGACTACAAGAATTAAAATTGAGAACAAAGTCTTATGTGAAATAAACCTTTCACAACAAAAATGGTAGTATAGCTCGAAGTTTAGATAGACACTGCATAGCGTGTACTAGGGAACAATCAGTGAAGGGTGGATGGATGAGGAAGAATCTTCTCATGGGGAGGGGACCTGTTATGAGTGAGTAATGAATGATCATTACAGCCATTACTAAATGTGTTGCATTTGGGGTTAAAACTGATCGTTTGGTGTTAAACTGTCTTCTTTTGTTTTTATTTTTAGGCCTCTTCCTTATCTTAGGCTTGATACTTTACCCTGCAGGCTGGGGATGCCAGAAAGCAATAAGCTATTGTGGACATTATGCTTCTGCTTACAAACTAGGAGACTGCTCGTTGGGCTGGGCTTTCTACACAGCTATCGGTGGCACTGTTCTGACATTCATCTGTGCGGTCTTCTCGGCGCAAGCTGAAATTGCCACATCCAGTGACAAAGTACAAGAAGAAATAGAAGAAGGGAAAAACCTTATCTGCCTCCTCTAACTACAGTGGGAAAAATACCAGTGCCTGGATCTTAATCTGCTGTTCAGTGACTTGATAAGCAGATTCACTTGCCTGTTTCCACCACTTGTGTGATTGAGCCCCATGCATTCCAGCCTTGAACTACTGAAACAGTCTTTCTTCCTTGCTGGGCAATGAGGATCAGAGAAAGGATCCCAAGAAAACAGAATGTAAATACTTGGGAATTTTTTAGTTTCATTATATTATCAGGACTAAGTGGAAT